GGGCTGGACAGGAGTTTTCCATACCTTTTTCCTTGTCAGAACCTTTGCACAGTGCCGCTGTTGTTCTCCCTCCTGTAGACCTGAAATCTGTATTTCATTCACTGAAAGTTTCTTTCTCTTGAATGCTTCCAGGGAAGAAATGAAGTGGAGAAAATGGGCAGATGATTGGCTTGTTCACCTCATCTCCCCCAACGTTTACCGTACCCCCAGAGAAGCATTGGCATCTTTCGATTACATTGTCCGTGAGGGGAAGTTTGGCACCATGGAGGGTTTGTTTGCAAAGTACGTGGGGGCTGTTGCCATGTTCTTCGTTAGCAAGAGGCTGAAGAAAAGGTTGGTACCACTGAGCACCGAGTACATGAGAGGAATAGCTCCTTAACCTCCTTAGCTGTGAACCCCAAAAGGGCAGCACCTAGAGTTTTAAACCAAGCCATTTAATCCAATGTGAGTAACAGTGTATTGCTTTGTGTGCCTGAACCCCTCCACTCATCTACTATGTAATCACCAGCTGCCCCCTTCACTCTTGGATACCTTCCTGATCCCCAGGCAAGGACCAGCCCCATAAGATGAGAGATGATAAAAGGTTAAAGAAACAAACTAGTGTTTTCAAACTAGTTCTTTTCTTTATCCAGACATCACCTTCAAGATGATGTCCGAGAAGACTTGTATGAAGCAGTTAATGAGTGGGTTAAAGCTGTTGGCAAACATCGACTGTTCATGGGTGGAAACCAGCCCAACCTTGCTGACTTGGTAAGGGGTTAATTCCTCCGTTTATTCTTTGGTGTATTACACATTACCCAGTTCCTCATGTGTGTGAAATAATTAAATACAGGTAGAGAAGGTGGGTTGGGTGGGATGAATGTTGACATCCTCTGTGCAGTAATACGATTCCCACGTGAAGGGGACTTAGATTAAGTAGGATCATATTTGTTGTTTTCCTCCAGAAGAGTGTTTCCTAAGATGCTGTTCCCATCTGCAGGTGGATGTTGCTGTTAACATGGAAGCATGATAAAAGCAGGTTACAAGCCAGGACACTGCTCTGGCTTGTGTACTGGTGAATAAAGCCTCCCACCCGCACAGGTTTTACAAAACTTGCTGCTGCTGGGCAGCAGTGTGGGCTGGAGCAGGATTCATCCCCTGCATCAGCTGTTTTCCTTGGAATCTTTTCACAACAGGGCTTGATGCAGAGATGGGATGAACATTTGACCCATAACTACATGTAGATCCTGACCTTTCCTTACGTTACCACTGTTCCTCATAGAAAAACGTGCATATTCCTAACTACCTTTCTGCCCTTCTGTCTTCCCTGCTAATTGGAGTGGTGGAGTAGATGGCAGGATGGGGAAAGAGCCTTACTGGCCAGGCTACTGAGCTGTTCCCCACTGACTCGCTGGTGGTGTTCTGTTCTTTTTGCTCTGGTGCAGGCAGTGTACGGGGTCCTCCGAGTCATGGAAGGGCTGGAAGCCTTTGATGACATGATGGTTCACACCAAGATTCAGCCTTGGTACGAGCGCATGGAAGAAGCCATTCAAAAAGCTGCAGTTGCGTTCTGATGCCAGCTGCAGCTGCCTTCCTGAAGCACTTGCATGGTAAAAAAAAATACTTCAGAAGGAACACCATTTATCTTTAAGGAGTTGAAAGGGCTGATCACACCTAAGGACTGACACGGAGGCACAGAGACCATCCCGCTTAGAATACCAAGTCACAGTGAGCAGGAGGGATCCAGCTGTGTATGCTTGAACGTGGTGTTTAGAAGGAGGGGAACAGGCAAGATGAATGCTGCTGGAAAGGAGAAGCTCTGAAGAATGCAGCAAATAGGCTTCCTTTAGGTGAGAGCCATTCTTAGAGCAGGCTACTGTAAAAGCAAGACTCTGCTAGTCTAGTGAGTGTTACATCCACAGTGGATGCGATGGGTCTGAGCAGCTTTTGCTTTGGGCTCTCTTCTGCTGCTCACCTGAAGTGTTTTCCTGATTGAGACACTGGATACTTATATTTAAGTGACAATTTTTCCTGCAACAGAATCTTGTAAGCCCAGTGCTGAGGGAACTGGAGGAATCCAGGGTGCTGGGAGAGGCATCCTTCCCGTGACACAGTCACTGCTGCTTTCGCTCTTCCATGTAAACGGTTCTTTTGGTACTTGATGCTGTACAGTCTGCAAGGATAAAGGCTGGCTTTAATGTGTGCCTCTGGGATCTGTGAGTTCTTACTGTACCTGGAAAGCACACCCTATGCAGCAAGCACTGATGCAGAGCTGGTGCTCAAAAGATTAGAATCACTTGGGGAAATCAGTTTATTCTTTTTCTGGAAAAAAGAAGGATTAGGAGCAAGCCGCCAATGTAGGTGTTTGTGCTGTGTGAGAGTAGCAAAGGATTTGCTGTTGTACCAGTGGGTTTAGGAGCTGGCTCAGCAGGTAATGTACAAGTCTCCTGAGCTGCAGTGGGATGTTTGTCCTAGCGCGAGATGATTCAGGCTCCTTTACAGAGCCCAAGCCTTGGGGTTTGCCTTGGTACTGTCCTGTTTTCCCAGGAAAAAGGGCAGGTTTGGGGAAGCTGCTTTGTTGAGACATTCTGAGTGCAGCTGGAGTTGGTCTGTAATACAGCTGGGCCCTGCTGGGGAGGAGGTGTAACAGCAAAGGTTGTCGTAGGGGTGGGTTTTGGGGCTTTTGTTGGGTTGGTTGTTGTATTTTTTACTTTTATTTGAATGTGAGACTAGTTACAAACCCAGTTATGGTCTGGCATAGACAAAAATGATGTTTACAGTAAAACCAGCTGCGTTGCTGCTCTGTGACTTGCTGTGTTCTTCTTAGAGCTGCCTTGTACTGAGACCTGCATCCCGCAGTATCGACACAACAGCGAGCGATGCAGTCTGAATACAACTGCATGAACCTGCCCCGAGCCCTTCGGTGATGGCTTGGCCACACTCGGGGACGGCGAGTGCCGGGGCCCAGGGGCCGCGTCGCCAGGGGCTGGCCCTGGAGGAGCGCGGTGGGTCCCGGCGGCGGCGGAGGATCGCGGCGCTAGGCCCGTCCCCTCGGGCCGCTTCTTGTCTCTATGGCGACGGGGCCCGTTGTGGGGCGGGGCGTGGTGACGTGCGCGGCGTCGCGCTGGTCACGAGGAGGGTTTGAATCAGCCAATGGGGGAGCCGGGAGCGGCGGCGCGGCGGCGGACCCGGAAGTGCTGCGGCACCTGCTGCGGGCTCGCTCCGCCCGGCCCGGCCCGGCCCGCCTGTGGGGTTTCTATGGCAACAGCGCCTCCCGCCGCCTCCCCGCCGCCGGCGACCACCTCCTGAGGCGGCAGCGGACCCTGCGCGGCGTTTATGGTGAGGGACCGATGGGGCGGGCACCTGGGAAGAGTCCTTTTGCCCGCTCTGTCAGTGGCGAGGGGTACCCCCGCCTCAGGGGGCGTCCTTCCCGCCGCAGCGGTAAACGGGAACCAACGGGCGGCTTTGAATAGATACAGGAAAACGTGCTTTGTAGCGAGGGGGGCTTTGGGACGGGCTGCTCGGGGGTGGTGCCGCTCCTGCAGGCTTCTCAGCCCGTTATGGGGAGAGCACTGCCCTGAGCTGGGAGCTGGACCTGGTTGGGGTGGGAGATTGAGCCCTGGATAGGGCCCTGCTCGCCTGAGGCAGACAGAGATTGTCGGAAGAGCCTCCGGAGATGGCAGGGAAAGTTGCTTAAACTTCTGAAATAAACCCAGTTGTTAGCGAAAGCTGGTGACTGCTTTTCTGCACCAGTTGTGGTCCTTAGATCTTAGCAAGTTCTTCCCTGTGAGGGTGCTGAGGCGCTGGCACAGGGTGCCCAGAGAAGCTGTGGCTGCCCCATCCCTGGCAGTGTTCAAGGCCAGGTTGGGCACAGGGGCTTGGAGCAAGCTGCTCTAATGGAAGGTGTCCCTGCCTGTGGCAGGGGTTGGAGCTGGATGAGCTTTAAGGTCCTTTCTAACGCAAACCAGTCTGGGATTCGAAAGCTCTGCAAGTTCTCAGTGCATTAACCCATGCTCACATGTGGGCCTGGGGGGAGTTTAACCCTTCTCTTGAAAACAAGATTAAAGTGCCCAGTGGTGTTTGGAGTTGTTCATAGCTAGAAGCTGGGGATCTATCTCTCTTCCCCTCTGTAATCTTCATTACTCTTATGTGATGTACAGGTGTGTTTTGTTTTAAATGCATCCTGCTTAAAACCAGATGCAGTAGTAATAGGTTTATTTAGAGTAGTTTATTACATGAATCGCAGCAAGCTGGTAAATTAAGCAATGAGCTATAAAGAATGATCTCGGTTCCAGTCTGGCAGAAGTGTTGTAAAAATCCTGTTCTACCACATTAAGAAGTGTGACTTGACTTGTAGCATCGTGGAGGAGTGTTAATGTAAGGTCAGCTAGCTAAGGCTGATATACCACCACTCCAATAGCTGTACTCCATCCCTCCTCAGCAAGCGTTAGTCCTTTGGACATCCCTTCTCCTGCACTCCCATTTCTTCAAGTCTTCAAGTCCTCCCAGCCAGAAGATGCTCATGCTGTAGCTGACTGAGTCTTTGTGGTGCTGGGTTTCCTTCAGCATGAGTGCTAATTCAGATGTATCTCTTCAGCCTGCACAACAGTATAAACCTAAACCATCAATGTTTCAGTGCAGTTTTGCAGAATTTGTTGATGATGGCAGAATTTGGGGAGGCTGTGGGGTTTGGGAGGGGATGTACACATGCCCTAGAACTGTTCAAACCTGTTCCCATATTAAACTGCTTTAAAATTGCAGTTAGAATTTGAAAGTTTGTAACTGTTTGAGCAAGGCCATAGAGTAATTGTTCAAAACGTTTCCACTGTTGAAGCCACGTTTCATTATCACTATGGTAAGGAATTACAATCTCTGTCCTTCCCTCATCCCATGTTGGTCAGCGGAAGCCAGGACACAGCAGCTGCTGTTGTTTGGGTCCATATCCTTGGTATGTTTGAGCTTTAAATTGAAAAGAGGAGAATGTTCATAACTTGACACCTTTTCTTATTAGTGGTCATTTTATTATTTCTGTATCAGGTGTCCCTCATCCATCAACAATGAAATGACTTCAGTCTCTGCACAGAACGCACTGTCCAGAAGAGCCAAGAGCATTAGAATAAGTGTAAGTAATTTATCTTACAAAAAACCCTTTCTGCCAGTATCAGGTTAGCGCTGCTGGTGGACTTTTGTAGGATTTGCAATTGCATCATACCATTACCTTAACCAAAGCATCGAGCTCAAAGATAGAGGCTTTAATCTTGCATCTCTAGGCTTTTCCATCTTGTGTTGGGTATTGGTTGAGGTTGTGCTCTTTTTCTGGAGATTTAAGATTAAATACTGTGATCCAAAAGCTTTTAAGCATTTGTTTAGCTTCAGAAGACACTTAAAGCTTGCATGAAAGAGTTTACAGGGTCAGGGTTCTAGAATGGAAGGATCTGATGGTCTCTTGTTGATTTTTCCATAAGCAAACTGTTAAATGAACGCTTCTCTTCTCTCTTCAAATTTCTCTTCATAATCAGATGGTGCTGGTTATTGGAACCTTGATTTGCTTGCGTGCTCAAAGACTTTGAACTCTAATGACTCTTACAGACACCTGCTACCGATCCAACTGTATTTGCTCCTTAATAGCAATGTTCAAAGCAGAAAATACCAGCAGCAGAGAAATTACTTGTATTAATCCCAGCTTTGCAGCGAAATAGTGTGCAGTTCAAAATGGCAGATGCTCAAACTTTAACCAAGGCTGGCCACTGTTGCTTTCTGGCACAGAGGGAAATGTTGTTATTTCCAGTTTCCTTATCCACAGGTTTCCTTTCATTGTCTTGCCCTTTCCCGTTTGTGGGAGAAGAGCCATGAAGAACCGTTCCTCCTCTCCCCCTTTGCACGTCCATGTGGATGAAAACACCCCTGTCCATGTCCATATTAAAAAGGGTCAGAAAACCACACCTGCACAATGCCAGGTAGGAGTGTGTAGCCACGTGTTTGTAAGGGTTACAAAGAGGAAGGTGAATGGTCTTACAAGCACCACACCATCTTCAAGGTCTGTTTTACTGTTGTGTTTGAAGTGTAAGACTTGAATTTGTGTTCAGTGGTGAATTTTCAGTGGTGCGTTTTCTATATTTAAGGTGATTTGAGTCTGATCTAGGATATGTATTTTTCATGTTCACATGTATGTTTGTGAGGGGCGTTGCTTCCAATGTGATATAGTTTGGGGGATTTTTTTTTTCCTTTTATTTCCTGGATTTGTGTCTTGATAATGATTTTCCTTTGGCTTCATCCTTATTTTTGTAGGAAAGGTTTGGGGAAAGGTCATATTTACCTGTTTCAGATACCATCTTGATTGCATTAAAATGACTGTGCTTAGGGAAAAAGGTCTGGATTCAAACCATCTTCTGGCATTAAGCACCTTCTCGGTCTGCTGCTCTATGCAGCAAAGAAAATCTCTACATAGCCTTACCCACAGCAGGCTGAAGGCAAGACTGAAGTTGAGTTTCAAGCTATCACCTGTCCTCTTTCGCAGTTGGATGTTTTTGTAAAGGTGATGCTTATTCTTCCTTAGGTGCAGCCATCCTGTTCTAAGTCCTCTGTTAATTTTGTGTTTGTTGCTAATGGTGCATATCATAGTGGGGTAGGGCCTGACAGTGACATCAATGATTCTTACTAACTAATTGCCTGTAGGGGATATTTAGAACATCAGATTTTTCTCTGAAGGTCAGAATTGTGCAAGACCACTTGAACTTCCCTTCAGTCAGAGCACTTCGAGTTCAATAGAAATAAATGTCCACCTATTAGTTGACTACAAAGCATCAAAAACACTTCAGAAGCTTTTCAGGACCAATCACAGTGCCCTGTTCTTAATTTTCTCTGATAGTACTGTTCTCATGTGATATATCTGCTCTTTTGTGAGACAAACTTGGAATGGAGAAGGGATCTCTCAGGTTGTTCCTTCTTCACATGAATGGGTTGCATTGTGATATTTTCTTGTGCATCTCCATACAGAGAAGACTTTCTTCCTTCCCAAGTCTCCCACCCTGGCCTGCTGGGTAAGGCTCTCATCACATCACAGGTGCTGGTATCCCAGGGATATCACGGAGCTTCTTCATGATAGACAAGAATACACTGTCAGCTGAATGTGCAATAACCTTTCCTCCAGGCTGGTGTTAGCCTCCTCTGATGGCTGCTGGCCAGTCTTATGTGACGTATCGTGCATAACACTGTGATATTTTTGTATGAATCATCTTTTATTTGGCTTTGCAGCACTAAAAATTGTAAATGGTTCTTTAAAAGTCTGTGATTTATTTTATCTTCTCTTTTCTTTCAGCAAAAGCAGAAGCAGAAAGCGAAGGGGGATACTGTGAACGTGTGTCGAAGTGTCCGAGTGAAAACGAAAGCCCCCTGGATACCCCCAGGCAAAACATCTGTCCGGGAGGCCCCCTGCAAATGGGAGGTATGGCTGAGTTTGCTCTTTAAAACCTTAAAACTTTTAAAGGTCTATCTGAGGTTGAAGAGAGTTGATGTTGTAGTGAGGGAGCTGGGCTGATCTGAAAGAAGGCTACTGTCACCTACCACCCATTGGGTCTTCTATAAATCTTTTTCACTTTTTAATACAGAAAAATAGGAAATTAATTATTAGTCTATGCCCATATCATGCCTTTCTGCCTTTAGAAGCCAGAGACATTTCTTTGCTTATTGTAGCTTTAGTAGTCCCCTTCAAGATCTCATCTAGAGGCACAGTGAAGTGCTGCTGTTCTTAGTCTCTTCCAAAGCATGGAGTATTTGTGTAGTGTGTTTTCTTTCTTGTGGGTTGATAGTTTTTCCTTTTGTATTCCTGGCTTTTCCTAGATGAGAACTTGAACTTCCATTACTTTTTCTGTTCAAGTTTTTGTGCATTCTTGACCTTTCCCTGGTGGAAATGAAAGAACGTTTACAAGTTGGTTTTCTCTACCAGCCTTATTGCAGTGATACAACCTGGTCTCTGTGTCTGGCAGAGTTGTGGTTAGGATCCTGTTTATGACTTTCTGGTATTTTCTACCAGGGACCAGCTCACCGCCTAGAAGTTGCACCTCCAGATTCAGACAAAATGCCATCAATGTTGCACCTGAGCGACCTCTCTGCAGATGAGGAGGATGTTGTTTGCTGCAGAATGAATGAATATGAAAAGAAGATAGATAGCCTCATAAATGCAGTGGGAATGATGAAGGAGGTGAGGAGATGGAGGAAGCTGAGGTCAAGTCTTGGTGCAATAGAAGACTACCCAGGCCATTGGTAGCTTGTTTAAAGTTGTTTAGAAAAGCTGAACTATCCTACTGAGAAATTCAATAAGCCCTACTATGAAACATTGTAAAACCTTATCCGTTTAATAAGGTGTCGCTGTGCTTCAGTTTCCAAATAATCTTTCTTCTACCCAAGCCCAAAGTCTGAAAACTGGTTATTCCCAAAGGTGAAAAACGCAGTATGTTGCTGTTTCAGTGTCAAATAATCCACTTAACATGATTGTTTCTTCTCATTCCCTTTAAAAATGCGCAACCCACTGATGTGTTTTCCAGATAAGTAACATCTTATGTATTTGACACCACTTAAAAAGTGGGTAGGAGATGTTCCCAGATGTGTGATGGTGGGGGCAAACTGTGTTTTTAACTTCGAGTTAACACTGAGGGTAACACATCTTAAGTAATATTATTTTACTTAAAACTATGATGTTCAAATCCATGTAAAAGAATAGGATTTGAGTCAAATAGATTCTTGCATTAAGCATTCTCCATTTTTATTTATGCTACAAAATATAATGGAGTTACTTACATGACTGTAAAATAAAAGTCCACTTTGATACTTTTAATAAGTTAATTGAATCTAAATGTTTGGTGGTGTCACTTAAATCCATGATGTAAGATCACATTAAGTTTGTTAGCTTTGATTTTTGTGCAAGCCAGGGAATCTCCGGTGACTTTTTGCTGCAAAAAGAAAATCCAAGCCTGGTGCAGTGGTTCAAGCCCCCTCTATGTTCTTTCTTCTTTCACATCTTCACTGTCTGTAGCACTCTTAACTGCCAAATGGGGTACATGTGTCATTCATGGGGAGCAGTAACCAACTTCTGAGCCCCATTCAGCCTTCAAGTATTATGTACACAACTTGTCACACTACCAGCAGTGATGCTATGCTGCTACGGAACAGGTAGATGGAAACAAAATGCTAGGGACTGTTAGGTTGATTTCACCCAGTTCCATGGATCTCCCAAAGCAATAGTGGAACAACTGGAGCCATTTCCAGTGTGTGAACTGCCACCAGAGCTCCTTTCCTGCCATGTTGGAGGCCTTTCACATGTCTTGTGGCTGATGACAAGTTTTTGGTATATGACTTAAAACCAGGATGCTTCCATCTCCGTGTGTTTGTGGGATGGGAGGTACTTCAAGGCAATAGCTGAATTATGCTCTTTGTGCATCCGAGCAACCTGGAAATATCTAGGGGGAAGGCGAGTGGGAGGAAGGAAAAAAATGCAAGAAAAAGCCTGATCCTCTGTTGTTTGCAGCTCAGTAGCTGGTTCAGTGGTTTGAGATGTGGCTCTGTGTATCACTATAAAAGCACCTAGTTTGTCTTATGTCCTATTGAAATATTTTCATCAGGCCAAGCTGCAGGAAAAGGAGGAACACAAGCAACTGACAGAGCGTCTCCTGGAGGAGCAGAAAGAGCAACTAAATGAAGTCACACAAGAGCTGGTAGAAACAGAGCATGAGAATACGCTGCTCAGACGCAGTATGGAGCGCATAAGGGAAGAGAAAGACCTGACTATGTAAGACAGCTGTGTTCTCTATTGTTACTCCAAGTAGTGGTATTTACAGGGCAATACCTCCTTTACTGCTAACATTATTTAAGGTTGTAGTTTGTATGCTGGGTTGCAGTGCTGCTTAAGAACTCATGTTCTTTTTGTCACCTTTTAGAAGGGGAACTTCAATGGCAATAGCTGCAGAGAAGGGTTAAAGGATGATATTGGAAAAGAAAAAACTACTCTTGAGAGGAACCTGAGAGCAGTTGGCTTGTGTGGCCTACAGGAGGGTCATCCTAGCTCTGCGATTAATATTTTGAAGGTTAAGAGATGCTGTTTGAATTGTGATGATATTGGTAGAACAACAAATGAGTAAACATGAAACTGAAAACTAGAGGCTACACCCCTGAGAGGACTGAATTATGGGGTGTTTCTTAATCCAATCAACTGTGTATCAGTAGTGGCTGGTAGAGTTGTTAAAGCATCTTGTTTCTCTGATGGTTGAATTCTCATTACAGGCTAGAGAAGAAGTACCTGCAGCATGAGAAGGAGTGTTTGATGTCCAAGCTGAGTGAGGCAGAAAGGGATGCATCAGCAGCAGCCAGGCAGATCCGTGCCCTGGAAAATACAATTGGGAGACTCAACACTGTAGGTGTTGTCTGGTTTTGTTCTTATCTTTGCTATATTGTCCTGTTATGTGTCTGTCTTAAAAATGTAATGTAACAATTGTTTCTCTGGAAAAGTGGAGGCATTTGTTAGTTTTGTTTGGAAGTGGGGTATTTACTTGCAGCATCCAGTCACCTTCTGCACATGGTGCTCACTATTGCACTGCTCGTGCTTGTATCAGCTTTACGCATTCCATGTGAATAATTCTTTTCCCTTTTTTTACTGTTCTCTAGGAGAAGCACATGAGCAGCTCAGACATTAACACACTGACAAGGCAAAAAGAACTTCTGCTCCAGAAATTGACCACCTTTGAAGAAACCAACCAGACCTTACGACAGCTTCTCAAAGAGCAGCACAACAAGGAGGTGAGCAGTGCTGTGTGCTTGAACTTGACAGAGGACAGGAGGCTGTGTCATCTTGTGGGCTGAGATGCATTTTGAGACCTTTGAATGCTTTTTCCCAGCCCTGCTGCTGTCCCTGTGTCATAAAGGATGGGTAGGACTTTTTCATGTTTTTGTTGGATTTTATCCCTACCTACTTCATAGAATAAGACTGACTTTTCTGCTGTGAGGATTTTAGAGCATCCAAGTGACTATATTAAAAGGTATAGGCACTACTGTGTTGCCAACTCTCTCTTCTGGATACAGCTGCTTGTGCTAGTGTGAAATGTTACTACTACAGTTGCATTGGCTGACATCTGAGGACTAGATGTGACCTTAGCTAATGGGAGCCTAAGGATATTCAGACCCTTATTTTTGTAGGCTCTAAGAACAGTAACAGAGAGACTGTAAACAATTCTGTCCTGCTTTTACAGAACAATTCTATATTGCCTGTAAGAGAAATACAGAAGTGAATTTGCTATTCTTTCTGTAGTTTACATTTTATATTTATTCTTATATTTTATTTGGTGCTTCTGGATATCTTCTGAGAATTGCTGCTACAACTGGGAACAAATGGTTGACTTGCCCAGTTCTGTTTAAACTAAGTGTCTGTAACTGACTTTTTAGTTAGTAATTTAGTTAGTAATACATAATACTTATGTATTTCTTTCATAGAAGGATGCTCGGAAGTTAATGGTGCAGCAAAAAATCCTTCTGAAAAGGCTGGCTGACTCAGATGCAGAGAATGTGGTAAGCAAACCACAAGCTGTTTGGTTTTGGAGTTTTTGTTTTGCTTTTTCTTTCATAGCCCTTGAAGTATATGGGCTTAGAATAGGGATAACATAGGTGAGATCTTCATGAAGAGCACTATTAGGATTTACAGTATTCACGCTATATAAAAGAACTTAAGCTTGTCCTTATGTTTAAGACAAATGATTGTGAGGGTGGTGAGCCACTGAAACAGGTTGCCCAAGGAAGTGGTAAATGTTCCATCCCTGGCAGTGTTCAAAGCTGGGTAGGACAGAGGCTTGGGCAACACGGTCTAGTGTGAGGCGTCCCTGCTCATGGCAGGGGGCTGGAACTGGATCATCATAAGGTCCTTTCCAACCCAAGCCAGTCTATGATTCTATGTTTTTGCTTACCTTCTCTTATAGTACTGAATGTACAAAGCAATAATTATACTACATGTTTCTTTAACAAGGAAACTCTGCGGGTGGGAGAGGAAAAAATACCTACTGCAGAAATAAATGCCCCTGATGCTCAGGATAGGATTTTTCAGTTTGGAAATTATCTTCTTTTTTCTATATGGTGATCATATTATCTTCAGAGATAGGCAACAGATCAATACCTGCCTCAGAGCCTGGTGCCACCAGCAGAATTTTGGGGGTGTGGATCATGGGTTGGTTCATACAACACCAGGCCTGCTGGCAACAGGCCTGTCTCAAAGAGGAAAAAGGATCTTTGCATGGGAGTTAGCAGGGTTCATTGAAAGAGCATTAAACTAGATTTGAAGGGGAAAGGGGTAAAACCAATGTTTGAGGAACAGTGTGCTAGCGAGGTCCTTTGCTCTGCCATCTCAGAGGAGGTAGGGGATGGAGATATATGTGGCAGCAAAGACACAAGAGTTTGTGTTAGAAACCACAGAAGAGCCTGAGAATGGTCATGTAGGAATTAGGGCTTCTACCCCCAAAAAGGCAGCATGATCAGTAGTCCAACTGAAGTGTGTCTACACCAATGCATGGGCAACACACAGGAGGAGCTGGAAGTCATTGTGCAGCAGGAAAACTAAGACACAGTTGTCATCACAGAAGCATGGACAACTGGAGTGCTGCAATGGATGGCTGTAACTCCTTAGAAGAGATAGGCAAGGAAGAAGAGGTGGTGGGGTAGATCTGTGTATTTTGATTGTCTAGAGCTTAATGATAGTGATGAAAGTGTTGAGAGAAAGTTAGAATGGTCAAAGCCCAACTAGAACTTAATCTGGAACTGTCATAAAAAGCAATAAAAAATGTTTCTATAAATACATAAGCAACAAAAGGAAAGCTAAGGAGAATCTCCATCCTTTATTGGATGCAGGGGGAAACCTAGTGACAGATGATGAGGAAAAGGCTGAGGAACTTAATGCCTTCTTTGCCTCAGTCTTTAATAGTAAGACCAGTCCTCAGGGTACCCATCCCTCTGAGCTGGAAGACAGGGATAAGCAGCAGAGTGAAGCCTCATAATCTAAGGGGAAATGGTCATCTTTTGCCTGTACCCAAGAGGGAATGACCTCAAGCTGCACCAGGGGAGATTTAGATGGGATATTGGAAAATTTCTTCACCAGAAGGGTTGTCAAGCATTAGAACATGTTGCCCAGGGAAGTGGCGGTGTCACGTCCCTGGAGACATTTAAAAGATGTGTAGATGTGCCCCTTAGGGTCACGGTTTAGTGGCTGACTTGGCAGTGCTGGTTTAATGGCTAGGGTCTTAAAAACAAAGAGCTTGTGGTTTGCTTACCACATTCTCTGATCTTAAAGGTCTTCTCCAACCTAAATGATTCTGTGATTTTGTGACAAGCACAAAGTGGGGAAGCTTTCTGTATCTGTTGCTGTCACTGAATGAGTGATCTGGTGCCAGTTTTGGTTCATTTCCTTATCTGTAAACTGAGAAAAGAGCTCTTACATTGCATGAAGTTATAAAACTTGCTGTGAGACGGGTAATGCCCTTTTTTTTATCTGTGGGGTATACTATCCTGTCAGGTCCTTGTTCTTGACTGAGTACATTATGCCCTGTTACACAAGTGCTTGTACCCCTTCTGCTTTCTGTTTGAGGAGAATGCCGCCTGTTTTTCAGTTGCTGTGGATACCAGAGAGTGCCATGAATCAGAGCTGCGAGGGAGGGAGACAGTTACACCTCTTTTCCTCCACCTTGCCAACCTAAATGTGTTTGTTACTTAACATCTAAGTGGTGTTTGTTTTCCCAGCAACTTCAGATGAAGCTTCAGGAGAAAGAAAAAGAAATGGAGAGTCTTGCCAATGACATACAGGCAGGAAAGGTAGTTTCCTTTTCCATTTTCTCCTCCCTATTCCACCTTTGAGTTCTGCAGAACTACAGATAGTCCAGACTATGAATTTGGATTTGCAGAAAATTACTTTTTAATGGTTCAGATGACTGGCTTAGTTACAAAACCAATTTCTACATAGTTGTGGATTCCATATTGTGCTAATAAGGCATCTGTCACAAGGATGAGTAGGTAGTATTCTCTTTGCTTGGGCTTATCACTGAGTTGCCTTTCTGTTTAAGGTCCTGTTGGTTCCTGATGTCAAATTCCAGCCTGTGCCTCTGTTCAGTAATTTAAAGGGAAATGTAGTGGAATAGATGCCACATGAAGGATGTTTTGCCCTAGAATAAATCGTTCAGGCCAGTCATTCACGTCTGATTTAAAATTAATGTCTACTTACTTGTTCCCCATTTTGTTGGAGTAGAAGAGCCATGAGGGTCCATCTGAGGAAAGAGACCCTTCAGTGAAGAAGTCTGAGACTGTTGGGTTTTATGAAGTGTTCCTTCTATGAGCTTGTTGAGGAAAAAGGTCTGTGTCTTGTTGCTTCTTACTTAGGACCAGGCAAAGGCAGCAGAGGAGCTCTCCAAATCTATGGAGGCTGTGAAAGCCCATTTACAAGCACAGTTGCGAGGCAAAGAAGCAGAGAACAACCGCCTGACTGTACAGCTACGGGTATGTTTGCAGTGGTCCCTGGGGATCATCTCTTCATTTACTCATAAACTGAATCGACTTGAAGGGAAGCAGTATCTTGCTCAAAGGTTTATGTTTAACGTATCTGTTGATGTTGTGATGATGTTAGGATGAACATGTGTGGTAATAGTTTAGAGGAGCTTTAAGGTATATAGCTGCATAAAGCAACATTAATGTATGTGAGCAATCCCGTTAATAAAGACAATGTTCTTGGGTAGATCAAAAGAATGGTAAACCAGTATTTATCTTGGTTAGGAAAGGAAATAAGTATTCTAAAGAGCAGGTTATGAAAGAAAAAAGGAAGACTCTTGGAAGGAAAGCCAGATATGTCATGCTGACATGTCTTTCAATATTGGGACAGGACTGTGTAGGTGAAACCTGATTGCAAGAACCTCCAGGCTGAAAGTTGGGGGGGTTATAACCAGCTCTCTCCACCAGTTCTAGGAAATGAGTTGCTGCTTTGGGTATGCAGATGTAAGGGCGTTATTCCATATGGTGTATTTTCTTCCCTCTTGCAGAATCTGGAGCGCGGTGAAGCTCAGCATAAGGCAGAGGTGGAACGTGTCGTGAAACAGCTGAAAGAAGTAAAGCAGAAGGCAGATAGTGACAAAGAGGCCCTGAAGAAAGCCCTCCGTGCACAGAAAGAGCGCGCAGAGCGAAGTGAAGAGTATGTAGAGCAACTGACTGCCCAGCTAACAGAAAAGGTACCTGATAATACAGGAGAAGAGACCTCATTTCCAATCATGCATCTAAGCCTTTGACTTCTGGTAGCAGCCCTGGGGAGAGTCTCTGCTTTCAACTAATGAGATTTATTTCTGTCTTGATGCCTTGGCCCATTTATGCTAAGTTTAGAACAAAACCAGTTTTCTCAGCTGTCACTGTATTTGCTGCATGTCCTTAATGTAGGACTTGCCATAACTTAGATAATACTAAGCTAGCAGATCTGATTTTTTATGTGGTTCTTTAGAACTATCTGAAGGTTGAAAAAAACCAGTAAAATAAAGCCTTGCTATTTTGACTGAAAACTCTGAATGGAGTTAGAGCAGGAAAGTAAAAAGCCTTAGAGGCATAGTGGAATTTCCTACTGGAAAAATGACTAAAAGATATCAAGGAAAAGTAGGAAAGTTTAGGACTGGGACAAACCAGAAGGGAACACGGATTTTACACTACTTGATTATTTTTTTATCTATCCCTTGTATTTTGAATCCCAGGGACAAGAGCCACTAGTAGCATCTCAGCCATGCCTTATATTATCTGCATATCACATATGTCACCCTTGCTCTTTTCTCCCTGTATTTCTTTTGGTTGATAGGATGGGTATGTTGCTGAGGCGCTGTCTAGTCTGGAGACCTGGAGGAACCGCCACCATAGAGCAGTAAAGGACAAGAGTGACCTCGAACTGGAGATTGTTACACTGACCAGGTTAAAATAAAACTAGTGTAGAGTAACAAGCCTGAATGGGGATGTGTTCTAAGTTCAGGGATAATTTAACTGAATTGAATAATACCATTAAATTAAATGATTTTTGTTGGATTGACTGTAAATAGCCAAGCAAAACCAGTACTGCCTAAGGGCTAGAGCAGAGTTTGGGAAGAGAGAGAGCAAGAGAGCGATGCCACAGCAAAGGCAGACTTTTTAAGGGTTTGCTGACCCTTAAAACCCCGTTCCTTTGCAATTTTGTAATGCTTTGAAAGAATTAAGGTTATTTTTCTTTTGAGATCTGTTTGAGAAACTTGAAGGTATTAGAGAGGCAGTGTAGCTACTGTCTATTTTGTTGCAAAGGTCAATAAATGTAGTGTTATTACTGCAGTACAGTTGTTGCTGCAGGAAAAAAGAGGTAGTTACGAGACAAGAGAAAGGTACCTCTTCACCCTGTGTATCTCGAAGGCAATGCATTTGAGCTCCAAGAAGACAACTCAAGTTAATTTCCAGCAAGCTAATATTGAGGTTGTAGAACAGTATAGAAGATAGGTGTGCATATATGGAGGAGGAAGATGAAAGGATAGGAAAAAGCCTCACTTCTGAAGCTAATGTTTAAGGGTTGGGAGCCTTATTTTTTCTTGCCACTTAAGGATTGATTTTCTTTCTGTATGGCAGTCGTCTTGCAGACTTGCTGGAAGATCAGGCAACTCGGGAGGACAAGGTACGGGACGTCAGAGATGTGGTGCTGGATAAAGTGCGTCGACAGAGTTCAGAGACCTCCAATTTAAAAATGGAGAATGAAAGACTAAAGGTCAGTGATTCTAGGGGTTTGAAGCTGAAATGCTAGGGGGGAAAAAAGGAAGACATTACAACAAGTTGCTTGGCTTCTGATGACAGAGTTCAATTGCACCCATCGCTCCCGTTGACTTTCAAACCAGTTTCTCCATAACCTGAGTGTGACAGGACAAGTGTGCTGGGAAGAGACATAAAGGAAATGTACATTCTGTGAGGACTGGGTTTCTTCCATGTTTTGGTTAGGAGGATCTCCGACTCAAGTACTGCTTCCTCCAGCTGGATTCTTACATCTTGTCTTTACATCTTCATACTGCTGGCCAGAGAACAACCAGCTGTAGCTCATGCAGGGAGAATGGTGATTTCCAGAAGAAAACAAAAAGTGGCTGGTATATTTCTTCTGTCTTCTCTTACCACTGGTGATCATTTTCTTCTTGGAAAGCCAGACACTGATCCAAATAAGGAGTAGCCTAATCCAGGTAGCACAGCTCATTCAGGCAAATGGAAAGACTGCACGTCCATCCCAAACCTCTCTGCTCTGTTGATGTGAATTTGGCAATCTAATGAAGCCTGGAAAGTTTTGCCAACTTACACTCGACAAAAGCCTTTTTTCTTAGTCTAGACATTAGACAGCTTAGTGTGACAGCTACTTCCAAATCTGTTCTATTTTCAGGCTAGTGTGGCCCCAATGGAGGAAAAGCTGAAGCAAGCACAGGCTGAAGTGCAGCAGCTGAGAATCTCTGTCAAAAACTACGAAGGGATGATTGAAAACTACAAATCACAGGTAGGCATCTTACCAAAACCAGCAGCCCTTGCAATGACGTGTTTCCTCCCTTTACTGTTGTGGCTTATAACACCTTAACCCTTTGTTTGCTCTTGGAGGATGTTGCAGTTTGATATGGTTTTGGTTGCTTTGTCTCTATTAGCCTGACTTTTTCTCAGCTGGCAGCATGCAGACTGCCATGTGCTGTATGTCAAAGTGTGCAAGATTTGCCTTCCTCACTATGTGCTGATGACTTGGTCATTAGGAAGAGCTGACTCCCATAACAGAGATCTTGATTAATGAAAAACAAAAGAATGGTTTTAATATTTCACTTTCCCAAGCTCTTTTTCAAAAGGTAAAGAAAAATAGTTAGATGCTTTATTTCTGCCTCTTAGTGTGGCAAGCAGTGTTCCTTGGCTGCTTTTCTGGAGGGATTTTGGATATTGTGACTGTAGGAAGATAAGGCGAAAGGGGAAAACATTTGGTAGAAAGCCCAGATTATCCAGGTAGCAGAAAGTGAACTTCCAGATAGAGTTCTGGGGTGGTGGCTGGTGTGGTAAGAAACTTGTTGCTGATCCTTGAGCATATATATGACAGATAAAGTATGTGGGATATTTTTTTTTTTTGATGTCCAGATATTAAGGACCCAAATGGAAGCAGAAGATGCAGCAGCAAAACTGGAGAAGTTTGGTAAAGAGAACAAGGCACTAAAGGAAGAAAATAATAACCAGATGGATCTGGTAACTATTCCTCCAAAGACTGATACATTCATGGATCTTAATGTTCTGAGTGTAGTGAAAAATGGCTGTGAAGAGGAAATAAAAGGCTTGAATTTGCCTTTTCCATTAGTTTTTCTCAGGACTTGTTCATTCTGCAAAATGTGTTGAACATTTAGCAGCTGCTTCTTGGCTATATGGTGTTCTTCAGAGGTGTTTAAATTGCTTCCTATGTCCTTTGCTGCAGAAAAAGTGGTTTAGAACAGTGGGCTGACTAGGTCACACATCGTCTGATGTAGAGCAGCTCTCCTCAAAAAAAGAGCTTGTACTTCTAGTAAAATAGAAGCCCACGATCCAAAATACTCGTTCTCACTCCATCCATAGGCAATGCCAAATCCTAAGAGAAAGCCTTTTGGAGTAGAAGACCTTAGGCTTTGAACTCCAACACTGGCCAGATACCCACACGTTGTCACCACGGTCACATTCCAACAAAGCTTCATTGAAGTTGAGAAATGTTTTTAGTCTGGACCTTATGAACATTTGAAGATTCCTCATGTTCTCTTTGTCTCCTTTGATTACAGTCATACAAGCAGCTGCAGAGCAGGCTTGCTGAACTGGAGAAGCTGCCTGAGATCCTAAAGATGAAAGAATCACAAATAGCAGAATATAGAGAGCAACTTCAGAATTCCGAGAGGAAGAACGTCGACCTGTCTGTCCAGATTTCAGATCTTCAGCAGCAGGTAAGGGATAGCAGAAATTACCAGCATCTCTGCTTTCCAGAAGTCTGAGACCAGCACGAATTTCCAGTCGCAGGAAGGTTCAGTCTTCGTCTCTGTTCTCGTCTCTTTCTGAAAAGATTAAACGTGCACTGCAAAATAAAGGTGTGTGCCATGTCTTTGTGCGAGAAGTTAGCGGCGTAGCTAGTGGCATTCCTGATGACTTGAAAGCTTTCTCATTCCCTGGTCTGCACTTACTGCGTCTTGAATAGCAGCAGTTTCAACACTTGCTAATGCCAACACTCGCTTCTGTTACTTCCATCATCTTGTCAGCTTTCCCTTTTGTGTTTTTCTGCTGATAGTGCTACCCCAGCCTTGCTTTCTCAACTGATTTCAGGTTGTTTTCCCTATCCCTGTTTTTTGTCCCCAGGAGGACTCTCTGGGTATTGCAGGACAATTACAACAGGCATGACTTTTACAGCCATGCCTCAAGACTCAGCAAATGATCTCACAGTGTAACTGCTTTACTCTGATTAGCTTAGAATTATAACCTTCCTGGTATTGCAGGATCTAATGCCTTTGTGGGCTGCTGTCATGTATATGGCTGCTTTTAATGTGTGTGCTTTGCTGTGCTTACAGCGGCTGCTCTGCATGCAAGTGTTCACAGACCTGGCTTTTCATTTGCAACATGGAAGAACTTTCTCATACCTTTCCAAACATTAGCTGGAAGCACCAGCAAAGTGGATGTTTAGTGCTTTGCTTTTCTCTCTGCTCTTCCTTTTCTGGCATTCTCCAGAAATTCTGAATTGAGCATGTTTCCTTCTGGCAGGCTGCATGTAGTTTAGGTGGTTGGTCCTGGGCGTGTAGTGACTACTCTGTGAAGTAATTACTCACTGTAATTTTTAGATTGAGCTCCAGGGGGACAAAATGGAGATGACACGGGAGAGGTGTCATTCTGCCCAGGAGGACAAAAAGCAGCTCACCTTGAAGGTGGAAGAGCTAGAAAGGTTAGAAATATTAGGCTTTCTTGCTCTCTTAACCTTTCATTTCTATCCTCTTCCCATTGTTTTCTTTCAGGGGATTGAACAGGTTCAGTCTTGTTCCAGTCCCTTATGTGCCCCCTGGATTCTGTGTGTTTGTTTATCCCAGAAGGATCTCGAATCAGTAGTTGTCCACTGGAGAGTTGTATGTTTTTGCAGCACATGTTGTGAATGTTTTGTTAGAAAGGATGATGTTTTACACAGCACGTAAACCAGTTCCTTGCCCGTTTTAGCCTGACAATTTTGAGGTTACTACATGTTCCAGTAATTTTACCTGTATTTATTAATTCCTTTTAGAGACAATGTGTGGGGAAAATGCAAGTATGTGGGTACTTTCTCTGTCCTTCAGTCTTTGGAATCCTGTATTTGAGAAATGAAGAATTTTCTTGGGGCTCTCCTTTTTCAAGGAGCAATGGAATCTCTTCCCAGACTAGCCAGGACCTGACAAAAAGGCAGACTAGAACACACTCCATTTAAAACGAATAGGTTTCCTTACGTTATTGTCTTAACCTAGAAAACTAGAGTCAACGAGTGCCCAGAACATAGAATTCCTTCAGGTCATAGCAAAACGGGAGGAGTCGATCCACCAGTGCCAGCTGCGGCTAGATGAGAAGACGCGGGAGTGTAGCTCCTTGGCACGTCAGCTGGAGATGGCCATTGAGGATGCCAAAAGACAAGTAAGAAACTTCTTGTGTTTGTGAATTCTCCCAAAACTGCCCAGCCTGTAATAGGAGAAGAGTGACGATGCTGGAAATACTCCTCAGCCTATGACCAAAATCATTAAAATCATCATGTTCAGTGAAATACAGATAATAAAATGTGCTGGTATTGTTTGTCACCAGTTAAACCATTGAAAAACCTGAACTCTGTGCTCCAGTTTGCAACCAAAAGCTGAAAGCACAAGACTGCTGCTTATGAATGAGGACGTGTCCAGTTAAACTTTCTTGGGCTTTTGTGGGCAGTGGGGTAGGAGAAATGGTTCTGCAATAGACAGTCCTTTAACAGAGTTGTTCTGTTGGTACGTGCAGGTGGAACAAACCCGAGAACGAGCAATGGCGAGAGAGAGGGCGGCCCAGTCCAGGATGTTGGATTTGGAGACCCAGCTGAGTAGGAATAAAACGGAAATGAACCAATTGCGTCGGAGCAAAGATGATGTGAGTGAGCTGCAGTGGATACTGTTGCTGTGCTGGTGGTGTCCTGGGCAGCAACTGGAGTCTGTAAACCAAAGTTCTATGGATATACTGCTGGTCACGCAGAGCTGTGTCTGAATATGACATGCTGTTGTATGTGACCTTGCCAGATGTGTAGCATGGCATGTCTGTTAGGTCACTGATTCAAGAGTGGGGACTCTAATTTACTTATAGCAATGATCTGCATGAACTTGCTCCAAACTTATGTGATTGTAAGAAAAGAATCAGGCCTTTGTATTCAAATAAGATTTGCATCAGCTGTCATGAGCAGATATCAACTTCATTTACTCTGCCTGGTTATCTGAGAGAGAATGCAATTTATCTTCTAGGGGAAAGAAGGGGAATCTTTCATCATGTCCTATTTCTTCTGCTGCTTGAGTTTTACTTGGAATTGGGTTGCCGTATAGATCAGGTCAAGCAGCTTTTCAGAGCAGAGTGTGTTTAATTCCTCATAACTATAGCTAATCAGTTTTAAAAGCTCAGCTGATCAGCCACATTGTCTCCTGGTTTGATCAGTGGGTGCTGAGTGGAGTCGGAAATGAGCAAAACGGGTTATAAATATCATAGCACCATCTATGGTAATGTCATCCACTGCTGTATTCATTCTTGCTGTCTTCAGCACTTTAGGGGAACAACTTCAGTTTTAACAGGAATGGGATGAATGTTGCTGTCTTTCAGCCTGTGTTTTGTGCTTCTTTATGCAGGCAGAGCACCGCTATGAAAGCCATCTGCAGGATTTAAAGGATCGGTTGGAGCAGTCGGAGAGCACCAACCGCAGCATGCAAAACTATGTCCAGTTCCTCAAGTCTTCTTATGCCAATGTGTTTGGAGAAAGTGCCTTGCTGGGCTCCCTCAGCCACTCTCGTTCTTCTCCATGAGGGCAATGCTCTCCTTGCACCTCTGCTTTTAAGCACAAAGGAGCCCTGTTTCAAAGCCATATGTTAGAAAGTAGGTTGGCATTTCAGGGTTGCTGTCAGGAGACGTTTTCCTCTTTTCCTTGCAGCATGAGATGATAAAGTGATGGTGACATATATCCTAAATGTAGGATATCAGCAATAGGTGAGGTTGCCATCACACCATAAACTGTGCCCCAAACCCAGATATTTTTGCACATGATGGAGAAGGGCCTTTTCATCCTGCAAAGTCCTGATGGTTTCAGCTCTTAAAACCTGTCAGCGGTTTGTTGAGCATGTTAATGTTTATAACAGCTCCTTTCCTTTTCACGCTTCCTTTTTCTATTTGTCAAGGAGATCGTGTGGGGTTTTTATGTTGTTGGGGTGGGGTGTTTATATATTTTTTTAAAACTATTGAACATTGTATTGCTGCACTGGGTGACAGGATGGTGGGAGAGGGTCCACCCACCAGAAGTGTGAAGCTGAAAATAACTGAAGTGCCTGAGCTCTACACTTCTAAGACATTATTTCCTGAACAACCACAGTTTTTGTGAACAGTTTTGTACCAGAAATAATGATTCGGGTTTTTTTTTTTTTTACTCCCTGAGCCTCACCTTTTTTGATGAGTGTGATGCTGCTGTTGCTTTACTCCTCTCGCCCTGATTTCCTGATCCTGAATATCCCCAGCACTGAGCCAAAAACATCTGACTTCAAAAGAAAGATTGTGGTTTAACCTCAGTTGCACTTCAGTGATGTGAATACCATGTGAGTTCAGGGTATGCATGAAATACTGATTTGCTCTTAAGCCACTTAAAGAGCAGCTTTGGATACTCAGCTCCTTTATCAACCTAGCCTGCATCTTCCCCTGAAAAATCAGGTCTTCGGTGTATGGAATCCCTAAAATTCATGTGCTCTCTGGTGTCCTTTCCAGTAAATGGTTCTAATTCAAAACTATGTTTAACTCCTTTAAGTCCTATTTATGTGCGCTGTGCTCATGAGGCAGTATTTGCCATCAAGCTGTCCTAAGTTAATCATTTTTTTGAGAGTTCTGTAATTGTGTGTGTATTTAACACTTTAAAAAACCTAAAGGTGCTATGGTAGGACATGCAATAAACTACATTTGAATCGGTAACGTTGGGCATTTCCTCTTCATCCTGCTGTATTTAGGGTCTTCTGGCCCCGTGTTGTGGGAAAACAAACACATTCCGGGGCTGCTGGTGCAGGCAACTGGCACCTTTCCATGTTTTATAGTTGGTGGCCTCTTCCTCCCCTGTAACCCAGGCTGTGAATGCTGCAGGGCAAAGTGGGCTCAGTGCCCCACGCAACATCCCCACCGCAGACCCCTGGCAGGCGCCCTCCCCGGGACTCGAACTCGGGTCCTTAGGCGTGGCGCGGAGCGCGGGGCTCCGCCTGCCCGCCAGGGGGCAGCCGCCACTGTTACGTGCCGCTCCTGAGAGGAAGCGGAAGGGCGCCGCGGGCCGGGGCCGCCATGCAGTCGCTTGTCGCTATGGAGCCGCGGCAGCTCCGCTGGGACACGCTGGCGGCCCTGCGCGCCTCCAGCAAGGGCCAGCTGAGGTACTGCCCGCACTGGCTGCAGGATGAGGTGAGGGCCCGCTCCTGGCGGGCGGCGGGGGCCTCCACAGAGGGTCTGTGAGGGGGGATCCGTGACTCGGCCCAGGGGTTATCTATCGGTTTCCTGTGAGGGCTTGGAGCAGTTAACTCGCCCTTGTGGGGTCTCTGCTGCTCAGTGTATCAGGGCCGGGCCCCTCTGCTCCCCTGCAGCAGGTCGGGTTCCGGCTCCCTTGTACCGTTTAAACCTTGCGGGCTTCAGGGAGGAGGTTCCAGCATGGCGGCCCTGCAAAACTAAGGGAGCCTGGAAAAGGTGTTGACGAGACAGCGGGAGAGATGGGTAAAGGATGGTAGTGAGCTGTCATAAAGCACCTGGTGACTTGTGCAAACGTGTTCGGTGTTAATGTTTCATTGCTTTCTTGGTGTGTTTCACAGACTTGTTTGGGTTGGAAGGTTGGAAGCTCCTCCAGCTCCAACCCCTGCCACAGGCAGGGACCCCTTCCACTAGAGCAGGGTGCTCCAAGCCCCTGTGTCCAACCTGGCCTTGAACACTGCCAGGGATGGGGCAGCCACAGCTTCTCTGGGCACCCTGTGCCAGCGCCTCAGCGCCCTCACAGTTTTGCCTTCACAGAAGCTGTTTTCTCTCTAGGATATCTTGGAAGGGTGCATAACTCCTCTTGAGCTGTCCCCTTATTCTGGCTGGGTCCTAGACAGAGTGACTGGGCAATCGGACCAAGAAATGGCACCCTCTGGAAGTTCAACACCTGAAGAAGCCACTCCTGTCACAAAACAGTCATCTCTGGAGATCACCTCTGCTGGCAAACAGGGCTTTTCACCACTTTCATCTACGGCGCCAAGTGAAACAAAGGTAGCTCTGATTATAACCCGTATGTGAGCAAAGTGGCTGCCATAAATTGCCTGGTAAAGGTTGGTTGGTGCTCTGTAAATCTGTGAGGGAAAATGTGCTTAGTTTCAACTAAGGCTAACAGTTGATGATAAAATTGTTATGAACACGATTTTCATAGAGTAATGTTTCCAGTAGGCCAAAGCAAACTCTCTTTTTTATCGTAATTAAGGAAATTTAGTTGGAGCGGTATAATTATATGGATTAGCAGCATGGGATTCATCCATTTGGGTTCTCTGGAGTCTCCAAATGACTTAGAGGTGTTGCAGCTCTCTTACAAGGCAATAGGGTAGGAAGTTGGGGAATGAGCAGTTGCGTGGTGGAGGTAATGAAGTTGATAAAGCACCTGAAAAGGAAACAAATACAAGCATCTGTTGCTATGCATTAAATGATGACTTCACCACGTAACAATGAAACTGAGCAGCAGGGTTTTGCGTCATCTTGGCCCCATTTAGACTGAAGAAATATACTGTGAGGAAATCATTTTAATGAAGCTGCAAGATCTGATAAGAGTTGTAAGAGAGTCTGAAGACTCCTCCTGAAGAATGATTCAGAGAAACCTGTCTTGACTTCTGATAGTCTAACACCTTCACTCAATGTTAACAGAACATGGGGAGCCTGTCAAGCCTGCTAGGTGACACTTGGTCTTCATGAGTGTCCTATAGGCTTTTGATATCTCTACTCCCAATTTTAATGATTGGGAAAAGTACTTATCCCAACCTTGTGTACATGACGGAGGACACTCCAGGTGGTGCAGCTGTGCTCCTGGGGTATATAACCACCCTAAATGTGCGCTGGTTAACTCCTCTGCCTGTTTCTCTGCAAATAATGTGCAGTTTAGGAGACTTGGTTTGGTTTCCTCCAGGAGTTGCTAACATTGATTTTGCCTTGTGGTGGCCACACAGGGAAGTGATGACCGCAATCTGCTGGAAGTGGATCAAGAATTCTACCGAGCAGTTCTTCCATCTAAAGTTACAGAAGTTGAAGGCTGTATTCAGATGTATGAGGAGATGCACAGGCTGAAAGGAAAGGTAAAAGAAGAAAAGGGTGTATATGAGTCACAGGAGAGCTACGTAACCTTGTGTAGCAATGTGCTGGTTAAAGTTATCCTAAATGTTGAATGACTTTGGCCAATTTAATTTGTATTTTCTTCTGTCTAAATTCCTGTGATCACCCTACTGTGGTTCTTGTGGCACCTCTGCAATCTGCAGGAGGGGCTGAGGCAACGGCAGGAGCAGCAAGAGCAGATGGTGAGGGCAGTGTATGACCTGGCCAGTGAACAACTGAAGCGCTTTGATGAACTGAAGGAGCTAAAGCAGCATCAGGAATTCCAAGATTTGCAAGAAGTAATGGAGAAGAGGTAAGATTAGCTCTGATATCCTTAAAGTGCTATAGCATGTAATCAACATAAGGATTAATTCTTGTGCTGGACAATTCTGTGCTGGTCTCTTGTGCTTGAAAATCTCACCTGCTGCTTTTACCTTAACTATCCTGGTACTATTTGTTTTCCAGAGTAGATCTTTGGCTGCTATTGAGGTTTCATTGGTGAGAAAAAGACTGTATCTGTGACAGTTAAAGTTCCTCTAGCTTATCTAGAAGTTGCAAAGCTGCTGGCCATCGTATTTGAGAAATCATGGCAGTCAGGTGAAGTTCCCGACGACTGGAAAAAGGGAACTATAACCCCCATTTTCAAGAAGGGGAAGATGGGTGACCCGGGGAATTACAGACCAGTCAGTCTCACCTCTGTGCCTGGAAACATCTTGGAGCAGATTCTCCTGGATGCCATGCTAAGGCACATGAAAAACAACAAGGTGCTTGGTGACAGCCAGCATGGCTTCACTGAGGGGAAATCCTGCCTGACCAATTTGGTGGCCTTCTATGATGGGGCTACAGAACTGATGGACAGGGGTAGAGCAGTTGATGTCATCTGCCTGGACTTGTGCAAAGCGTTCGACACTGTCCCACACGACATCCTTGTCTCTAAATTGGAGGGACATCAATTTGATGGATGGACCACTCGGTGGATAAAGAACTGGCTGGATGGCCGCACTCAAAGAGTTGTGGTCAATGGCTCAATGTCCGGCTGGAGAGCAGTAACGAGTGGGGTCCCTCAGGGATCGGTGTTGGGACCGGTCTTGTTCAACATCTTTGTCACTGACATGGACAGTGGGATTGAGTGCGCCCTCAGCAAGTTTGCCGATGACACCGAGCTGTGTGGTTCGGTTGATACCCTGGAGGGAAGGAATGCCATCCAGAGGGACCTTGACACACTTGTGAGGTGGGCTGATGCCAGCCTCATGGAGTTTAACCATGCCAAATGCAAGGTCCTACACCTGGGTTGGAGCAATCCCAGGCACAGCTGCAGGTTGGGCAGAGAAGAGATTCAGAGCAGCCCTGTGGAGAAGGACTCAGGGGTGTTGGTGGATGAGAAAATGAACATGAGCCAGCTTCAGTGTGTGCTCGCAGCCCAGAAAGCAACCGTATCCTGGGCTGCATCAAAAGGAGCATGACCAGCAGGTCAAAGGAGGTGATCCTGCCCCTCTACTCTGCTCTTGTGAGGCCTCACCTGGAGCATTGTGTGCAGTTCTGGTGTCCTCAACAGAAAAAGGACATGGAACTGTTGGAACAAGTCCAGAGAAGGGCCACAAGGATGATCAGGGGACTGGAGCACCTCCCGTATGAAGACAGGCTGAGAAAGTTGGGGCTGTTCAGCCTGGAGAAGAGAAGGCTGCGTGGAGACCTCAGAGCAGCTTCCAGTGTCTGAAAGGGGGCCTATAGGGATGCTGAGGAGGGACTCTTCATTAAGGACTGTAGTGAAAGGACAAGGGGTAATGGGTTAAAACTTAAACAGGGGAAGTTTAGATTGGATATAAGGAGGAAATTCTTTCCTGTTAGGGTGGTGAGGCACTGGAATGGGTTGCCCAGGGCGGTTGTGAATGCTCCATCCCTGGTAGTGTTCAAGACCAGGCTGGACAAGGCCTTGGGTGATACCATTTAGCATAAGGTGTCCCTGCTCATGGCAGGGGGGTTGGAACTAGATGATCTTAAGGTCCTTTCCAACCCTAATTATTCTATTCTATGATTCTATGAAAAGTAGCTTGCTGTGTGTTTGTATTTTGTCTTGTGCATGTCTTGAATAGAGTTTTTCTGTCTTTGTGTATTGTAGCTCAAAGGAGGCTCAAGGGCAGCAAGAGAAGTTGAAGGAAGAACACCGACACAGAGCAAAGGTCTGAGACTTCTAAGAGTTGTCTTTCATAAGAGATTGTGACTACTTGGTGGGAACTGGAAAGACCGATTGATTTGTTTGTATTTACATGCACCCCTGGAGTGGGAGTGTTTTCTGGTGCTGTCCTAGACACCTGCTGCATTGTTGTGGAAATGTGGTTAAAAGCACATGTATTGTAGGAGCAGGAAGGACCTGTAAAACTGGAGGCATCGGATCAGGAAGGAGCTGTAAAACTGGAGTTTTTTAAGTATTTTGTGTCTCTTGGGTCTTTCTCTCCCCAGGTATTAAACCTCAAACTGCGTGAGGCAGAGCAGCAGAGGCAGCGTCAGGAGGAGCTGGAGCGTCAGCGTAAGGAAGAGAGCCAGGAAAGATTGCGTCGCCTTTATTCCATCCAGGAGGAAGTGCTGCAGCTTAACCAGCAGATTGATCCCAATTAC